TTAACCTTCCAAAACAGAAAGCACTAGGCCCAGATGGTTTCATTGGTGAATTCTACCAAACATTTAAGGAGAAATTTATACCAATTATCTGTATCTCTATAATCTCTTTCAGAAGTTAGAAGTAGAGGGAATACATCCTAACTTGTTTTGTGAATCTAGTGTTACATTATATCAAAACCAGACAAAGATTACAAGAAAAGAAAACAACAACCAGTATCTCCCGTGAACATAGATGCAAAAATTCTCAATAAAATATTAGCATATAGAATTCAACAACATATGAAAAGAATTATACACCACAACTAAGTAGGATTAATTCCAAGTATGCTAGGTTGGTTCAACATTCAAAATCAATTAACATACTTGATAATGTCAACAGACCAAAGAATAAAAATGACATGATCATATCAATAGATACAGAAAAATCATTTGACAAAATCTAACACGTATACATGATAAAAACTCACTAAACTAGAAATAGAGGGGAACTTCCTCAACTTGATAAAGAATGTGTACAAAAATCTACAGCTAACATAATACCCAATGATGAGAAACTAGAAGCTTTCCCACTAAGATCAAGAATAAGGCAAAAATTTCCCCTCTTACCACTCCTTTTCAATGTGTAGTGGAAGCCCTAGCTAATGCAATAAGACAACAAAAGGAAATAGAAGGTATACTGGTTAGGAAGGAAGAAATAAAACTGTCTTTGTTCACAGATGACATAATTGTTTATGTTAAAAAATCCCAAAAGAATTGACCAAAAAAAAAAAAAAAAACCCTGAAACTAGTAAGTGATTATAGTAAGGTTGCCGGATACAAAGTTAATTTGCAAAAGTCAGTCACTTTCCTTTATACCAGCAATGAACAAGTGGAATTTGCATTTAAGCACACAATACTATTTACATTAGCACCCCTAAAAATGAAATACTTAGGTATAATTACAACAAAATATGTACAAGATCTGTATAAGCAAAACTCTGATGAAAGAAATCAAAGAAGAATGAAATAAATGGAGAGATATTTCATGTTCATGGGTAAGAAGATTCAATATTGTCAAGATGTCACTTCTTCCCAACTGGATCTGTATATTCAGTGCAATCCCAGTCAAAATTTCAGCAAGTTATTTTGTGGGTATTGACAAACTGACAAAGTTTATATATGGAGAGACAAAATACCCAGAACACAATACTGAAGGATAAGAACAATGTCAGAGGACTGACACTACCTGACATCAAGACTTACTATAAAGCTACAGTAATCAAGATGGTGTGGGATTAGTGAAAGAATAGATATATTCTTTACACAAATAGATCAATGGAACAGAATAGAGAGCCCAGAAATGGACCCACTTACATATAGTCAACTGATCTTTG